TACACGTACACCGATACAGAACAATCTCTACGACACACGCTGTGCTTGTTTGCTGCCGCCGAGTCTACACGTACACCGATACAGAACAATCTCTATGATGTATGCTGTTGTTAGTTGCTGTCAAGTGGATGCTGACTTAGGGCGACCACAGGTGTGCAGAGTAGAACTGCTCCAAAAGGTTTTCAAGGCTGTGACCTTTCGGAAGCAGATCACCAGGCCTGTCTAACAACATGCCTCTGGCTGGGTTCAAATGGCCAACCTTTTGGCTAGCAGTCAAGAGGTTAACCATTTGTGCCACCCAGAAAGCAAAGTGGGAAGAGCTGGGTGGGTGGGACAGACAGTGTGTTGTAGGTGCCTGTACACGCACAGACCAGGAGGCTACGCAGAGCCTCGTAGGAGATGCTCGTGGGGAGGGCGACCAGGGGACAGGGCACAAGGGTGGGCGTGGCTCGGCTTCTGGGTCATCGGCATTTTTTTACCACGTGCGTGTGCTGTCCCCAGATTCTTTTTTAAAAAAGGGGTGGCATTTTAAAAATGTATCCTTCAGAACGTTCCCACTAGCCAGTGAGAAAAGAACAAGCAATCCAAAAGAAAACTGGGCCAAAAATATAAAGACACAATTCATAAAAGAAATACAACTCATAAAAGACACAATTCATGTGGCCAATAAACACGTAAAAAGCATCAACCTCACTAACAATTAAGGAAGTGCAAAGCAAAATGAGCCACCTTCCTCCCACCAGACTGGCAAACACTTCAGAGACTGGTGACATCCAGCCAGTGAGAACACGGGGACGGGCACCTGCATGTGTCACTGGAGGAAGGACAACACAGACCACCTTTTGGTGGGAATCCGTTAGGACCTACTAAAATTTCCCGTTAGACTTTTTAAAACCGCTTTATTGAGATATAATTCACATACCATACAACTCGTCCATTTAAAGTAGGCAATTTAATTGCGCAACCATCACTACAGTCAATTTTAGAACATTTGCATCTCCCCAAAAAGAAGCCCCCTACCCCTTAGCCGTCATCCTCCCCACCTCAATCTCCCCACTTCCCCCAGCCCTAGGCAACCACTAATCTACCGTCGATCTCTATAGATGGGCCTGTTCTGAACATTTCATGTTAGAGGAATCATACAATATGCGGTCCTGTGTGACTCGGCATGTTCTCAAGGTTCATCCGTGTTGTAGCACGCGTATCAGCACTTCATTCCTTTTTATGACTGAATATTCCATTTATGGATATATCACATTTTGTGTCTCCATTTATCGGTGGATGGGACATTTGGGCTGTGTCTACCTTCTGCCGATTATGAATAATGCTGCTATGAACATTCACGTATGGGTTTTTGTTTCAACATCTGTTTTCAGTTCTTTTGAGTACACATTCAGGAGTGGAACTGCTGGGTCGCATGGTCATTCTATGTTTCCCTTTTTATGAAACTGCCGAACTTTTCCATAGCAGCTGCCCCCGTTTATATTTCCATCAGCAGTGTATCAGGGTTCCCATTTCTCCACATCCTCACCAATGCGTGGTATTATTTGTCTTTTTTCTTCTAGCCGTCCTAGTGAGCATGGAGTGGTGTCTCATCGCGGTTTTGATTTGCACTTCCCTAATGGCTAATGATGCTGAGCACCTTTTCATGTGCTACTGGCCATTTGTATATCTTCCTCAGTGAAACATCTATTCAAATCCTCTGCCCATTTTTCAGCTGGGTTATTTGACTTTTTATTAGGGCCTATTAAGTTTAAAATGTGAGCACCAGCAATTCCTCGTGTCAAAATATAGTACACAGAATTAACTGCACGTGTGCTAAAGCCGTGTGCGCATGGATATTCTCTGGAGCACTATTTGTAGTTGCATAATGCTGGAAAGAGATGTCTACTAAGGAACTGCTTAAATTAACCATGGTGCACGCTATCCACGGATTACACTACGAGGACATATGCTGACCTGATAAGATGTCTAGTGGATATTAAGTGAGTTTTTAAAAGTTGCAGAGCAAATACACAGTAGAATCTTATTTTTGTTCAAAACCAAAAGCAATGTGTTTGCACATTTATAGAGATATATATGGTATACCTGCCCAAGCAGAGGGATGAACCTGGGGAGGCTCTCTACAGAACCAGCGGGGATCTCGGGGAGGGGAAGGAGTGGGGGAAAGGGAGGAAGAGCTTCACCTTCTTATCTATATAATTTTGTAAAGTGACAGAATCATGAGTACTATTTACATTTTAAAATCTGCTCTTCCATATTCTTCAAATAAAAGCACTTTTGACATCATTACAGATGTAGATGTTCATTTTCAGTCTCCACAGTACCCCTAACGCTAAGCTCCAGTGGACAATCACGAAAACGTCCATTTTCCATCCAATGCCCACCCAATAAATGGATGGAGAGTAGTTATTCCTGTGAAGGAGAACATTCTGTTATAGTCTACTTCGCTGGCATGATTCCTCACTCGCTGTGGCTAATCTATAAGCTAATGAACAGGGTCACTTACATGGTTCAGAAAATACTGCACGATGATCTCATGGCCTGAGGCCGCGGCTTCCATCAGGGGTGTGAACCCACACACCGGTTCCCTGCAAGACGGAGGCCACAGTCAGAGAGTAAAGAAGAGAAGACCTGCCCGGGCAAAGCTTCCTACTGAAGACAGAATGAGGGAATACGCACATCGCCGCCCATCTCCAAGGGCAGAGGCCTCTCACGCACAAAAACCAGCAGGGGGAGAACGCGGGCAGTTAATATTAACATAGCAGCCTCACCCACTGGTCTGGTCTGTGCCCCGCTGTGGCCTTCTGCCCTAAAGACAAGTCTGTCTCCCGTCTCCCCTCCTCCTAAGCTGCTGTCCCCACCTGCTGCCTCCTAAATCTCCACCGAATCACGCTCAGGACACAGCCCCTGCCCTGGACTGCTCACAGAAAGCTGAGCGCCCCTGACCACCTACCCAGATACTCTCTATCGAGTTTAACATCCTCCACAAACCCCTCCCTAAAAACTCCAGTACTTCTCATCTACCACTTGCTGTCAAGTCAACTCTGACTCCTGGCAACCCCATGTGTGGCAGAGTAGAACTGTGCTCCACAGGGTTTTCAATGGCTGATTTTTTGGACGTGGATCACCAGGCCTTTCTTCCAAGGTGCCTCTGGGTGGACATGAACCTCCAACCTTCCCATAAGGAGTTGAGCGCATTAACTGTTTATGCCACCCAGGGACACTAATCTAACCTGTCCTTACTACGTTTAGTCCCTGATCTCACTCTGTGTGCCTGGTTATAGTTAACTTAGCACTCTGTCTTCAGACTGCCCCCTATCCTTACTTGTATCACGACAGCCTGGAAGGCAGGAACCACCCTAAACACTTGGTTTTCCTCCATTCTAAGACACACGGTTTTCACATTTTGACATCTCTGAAATCAGAACGTGTCTCACAATCCACAGGCGAGCGGAACGTTATCTGGTAGCCTTTTTCTTTCTTAGTGGCACAAAGCATTACGGTGTGTCTTACACTGCCCACACCAGCCGGGCAGAGTACACAGAACCAGGCAGCAGTGGATGCTGCCCTGCTTCCTGCTGTGTTAAGAGCTGATTATTCTCATCATATGCTTTAGACACTACCACTGCCAGCTTATCAAACTCCTGATTGTTTTCAAAACACCACCTCATCTGATACAGACAAAGGCAGGTAAGAGAAAGGAATCCAAATGCCGGTCTGCGTCAGACCCCCAGCACATGTAGGATATGGGTGTGGGCGCCTCCGTTTTCAGATAGAGATGAGGCTCAGGGAGCTTACAGTGACGCACCCCGTGTCCCCTGATAGGTATGTGAAAGGGCAGGATTCTCCCAGGTCCCGGGTATGGCAGGATGTCTTCCACTCTGCCCCTTTGTCTTGACCTCCCATCCACGGCAGGGGGCGCCCTGACTCTGCTTAGCCACCCTCCCAGCTGCCCTTCCTGGCGTCCCTGAAACCAGGCCACTGAAGGTTGTGTACTCACCTCACGTTGGCATTGGCGCCACTGTCTAAGAGGAACTTCACCATCTGCTGGTGCCCAGCGCTGGTGCAGTGGAAGAGAGCAGTCCAGCCCTGGATGTCTTTCATTTCCAGCTCAGCACCTTGCTTCAAAAGAACACAGGGTGCTCGTTACTGCCCGCCTCCCCTGCTGGAAGCGTTGGAAATGACGGCGCGCTGGCACACCAAGGCCCGCGGTGGTGCCCTCTGATCGCTGGGCTCGGGTGCCCGTGTAGCTCACCTGCAGGAGGAAGTAAGCGATGCTCTCATTGCCACAGCTGGAGGCCAGCATCAGTGGAGTCTGCCCTTCCGGGGTCGGCACATTCACACTCACCCCCGCCTCAAGCAGCAGGTGCACGATGGTATCGTGTCCAATGTAGGAGGCATACATCAGCGGGGTCCAGCCGCCACCATTCTTCTTGTTCAAATCGAACTCTCTCCTAAACAGACACAAGGCACGCTAGCCACGCCCGGCTGTAGCCACGCCCGGCTGTAGCCACGCCCCACTGTCTCACGTCGGGGGTTCACCATGGCCAGTGGTGAAGCTGGGCCAGAGAAAGACTGGCAGGGCTGACAGGAAACGGCATTTATCCCTGACCTAGACGCTCTCCAGCTAAGTCTCCTTCTGTTGTTTGGTGTCCCATGTGTTACAGAGTAGAGCTGAGCTCCATAGGGCTTCCTAGGCTGTAACGTTTACACACGCTTTGGGCGTGTTACCGGGAGGGAGCAGTCCCCGGAGGAGGATATCATGCTTGGTAAAGTAGATGGTCAGTGAAAAAGAGGAAGACCGTCAACGAGATGGATGGACACAGTGGCTGCAACAATGGGCTCAAGCATAGCAACGACCATGAGGATGGCACAGGACCAGGTGGTGTTTCTGTCTGTTGTACGTAGGGTCGCTATGAGTCAGAACCAACTCCACGGCACCTAACAACAACAATCTTTACAGGAGCAGATCACCAGGTCTTTCTCCCACCGAGCCGCTGGGTGGGTTCGAACTGCCAACCTTTCTGTTAGCAGCCGAGCGCCTAACTGTTGTGTCATCAGGGCTCCTTGTCCGGGGAAGGCGGACGGGGAAATGCTGCCCACAAGGTTGCTGTGGGAAGTCCGCAGCCCTCGGCACTGTTCCCCTGTTCTCACTCCAAGTTCTCACTGGCCCCTTCTGCCCAAGACCAGTGATGCTCTTCTCCGCACCGCCAGCTGCAGATGGCTCTCACTGGGGGCACGTTTCTTTCTGGTTGTCTCAACTGAAAGGGGCTGCTACTGGCATCTAGTGGGTGGGGGCCAGGGATGCTGCTAATTCTGTCCAATGGTACACAGGACGGCCCCCATGCCCCACAGTTATCAGGCCCCAAATGCCAACAGTGCCGAGGCCGAGAACCCCTGGACCAGAGCCTTGACCACCCACCACAATCAGCCAGACTCTGCTGGCCCAGTGTTGGTGGGGAGGGCAACGAAGCCGGGAGCGACTCTGACAGCAGACAAGCCCCTCTGTCAACTCACCCTACAAAAGCAGTCGTGAAAAATCCGTGACCAAATACTCCTGTCTTTCTTGCTGATTTCTGTGAAAATTCTGGAAATGGGTCTTCTCTCACAGGAGAAAAAAAAAAAAAAAAGTGGACATCTCAGCCTGGAGGGCGGGGTTGGCGTTGAAAAGGAACATCTGCTTCCAGGAGCATCTTGCACTGTTATGTACCCCCAGCCCAGCCTCGCCCTCCCCATCCACAATTCCTGCCTCTGGCGGAGGTAACCACCACCAACCATTCCCCGTAACATGTGGCTCTCACAAGTATACACGCATTAAGCTGTACCAGACAACTATTCTGCAGGCACCAGAGTCTCCTGCTGAGTCTGAGACTCACGCCCGGGCAGCCGCCCCAGAGGCCTGTCCTCCAGAGCGCAGCGGCAGTCACTGGCTGGGAGAACCGTATGGAGGCACCTTCTGAAGTACAGCCTGGATCAATCCAGGCCACCCTGACCCCACTGCCTTCATTTATGAGGCGCTCCGTTCCTCGTGGAAAGGGGGAGCCTGACCCTTAGCAAAAGTTTCTCTGAACTCTCCCGCCTCCCCTCCAAATCCCAGTCCTCCTCCTTATGCCCCAACTCCCATTGGGTTCCTGGCCTCCATCTATCTCAGCTACTGTCAAAACGGGGGAAATGTAGAACAGAATTTCAAATTCTCATGGACTCCAGACTTTCTGGAGCCAGTGGGGCTAGATGAAGCCCTGAAACTACTGCCCTGAGATAATCTTTTAAAACTTAAACCAAAAATATCTCCTGAAGTCTTCTTAAAACCAAACAACAGTTTAGCTTAACTCGTAAAAAATGTCTGCCTTGAACACTGTGTTCTTTTAAGAACTATCTATATGGGATCAAAACCACTGGTAGTGCAGTGGTTAAAGTCCTCGACTGCTAATTGAAAGGTCGACGATTTGAACCCACCAGCTGCTCCACCAGAGAAAGGTGTGGAAGTCTGCTTCTGTAAAGATTTACAGCCTTGGAAACACTATGGGGCTTCTACTGTGTCCTACAGGGTCACTATGAGTCGGAGTCAACTGGATGGCAATGGGTTTGATTTGGTTTACATGGGACCAAAATGACAACAGCAACTTGAAAGATTAGATAGGAACCTTAGGGGGCAGTGAGTGTATGTTAATTGAGAAAGAGTAACTCAGAAAAGGAGGATGAGAATGGCTGCACAACTCAAAGAATGTGATCAGTGTCACTGAATTGTATGTGTAGAGACGGCTGAATTGGTGTATGTTTTGCTGTGTATGTTCTCAGCTGCAACAACAAAAAAAAATCCCAAACACAACACTGACACGTCCCCTCCTTACCTCCCTGGAGCGGCTGATAATGACTTAAAACTGCTGTTCTCAATGATGCATTTTAACAGGGCATCCAGAGACTTAAAAGCCTGAGAATTCCCAAGGATCAGAGTTGTAACAGGGCCTTGGAGACCATGGGAGTGGATGTGCTGACTTCACACCCAGCCACCTATTCCAAAGGCCACCTGGTAAAGGGGTTCTCCAGATTACCCTTTACCAAAGGTTAGCCAGACACTTATAAGTGATGGCCACAACTTGGGGCCTGGGGACCTGGGGCTTCAACGAGGCTCTCTGCTGTGCTCACTGGGCACTGGAAAAGGCACACGTGAGAATCATCCAGGTACGGACATAAGTCATTTCTCCAAGTTATTAAACGAGACATGTGAACCAGAGGAAGCTTAAAGTATGGTGGAGACAAATCCTTTTCCAAAAATGACGGCAAGTATCACAGTGTACTAAGAATAAGGCATGGGACTTTGTTGTTTTGGGACTTAATATATATAAAAATCAGTTGCTGTCAAGTCATTTCCCACTCATGGCAACCCCATGTGTGTCAGAGTAGAACTGTACTCCGTAGGGTTTTCAATGGTTGATTTTTTGGAAGTAGACTGCCAGGCCTTTCTTCTGAGGCACCTCTGGGTTGACTCAGACCTCCAACATTTCAGTTGGTAGCCGAGCACTTAACTGTCTGCGCCACCCAGGGATCCTAATATATGTGTATTGTTGTTGTTTTGGGGGTGCCGTCAAGGTGATTCCGACTCATAGAGACCCTATAAGACAGAATAGAACTGCCCATAGGGTTTCCTAGGCTGTAATCTTTATGGGAGCTGATCTCCAGCTTTTTTCTCCACCGGGTGGGTTCCAACAGCCAACCTTTCAGTTAGCAGGTGAGCACCTAACCATTGCGCCATCAGGGCTCCTTTAATATGCATATACAGATTAGTAAAAAATAGCACGTGAGCAGTTGGTTCAGGGGGCAACCCTCCAGAAGGGGAGATAAAACCCAGCCGCTTTCCTTCTCTAGAGCAGAAACTAGAGAGGAGAGGAGAGCACCAGAGATAAAATGAACCCATCTGGGAAAAGAAGACCATACGGTCATCAGTTTCCATCTTTTGTTTGGGGTTCTGCAAGTGATTAGTGAAAACCATACACTCACCGTGTTTAAATTTTAAAGTTTATACTGTTTATAAGCCGATGAAAGAAGTTTATGTCCTTCTTTTCCTTCCTGGAAATAAAACCTGCCTCGCATCATTATTACCGATAACTGCCCAAGATAAACTGGGTCAATTCACTCTACACGCATGAAACATCTGTACCTGGGGCCTCGTTAGATCATGGATATTTTCACGTGGGATCTAACAATGGAACGGCGCTCAAATCTGAGGCGAACGGACATTTCCCAGGCCCTCTTACCGCTGGACACACTCCTTCACCACCTCGTACTGGCCAATGGAAGCAGCGGTGTGCAGATCCAAGGGGACGTCCAGCTCCTCCCGGCTGACCTGTGCGCCCAGCCCATGCCACATGGACAAGCTGCGGTTGAGGAGTTCCGGCTCACTGGCCTCATCGCTAAGCTCCGACATGGCTGCGGAGGGAGGCACAGGGGTTAGGGCTTTCCTTCCCGGCTGTTCCAGGCATGAAACGAGATGGTCTTCCTCCTATCTGCAGCAGGCCACCCATCACTACCCTATCAGTGATACAGACCCCCGGACTGATTTAGTATACAATTGTCTTTGATCCAATGTCCTATGGTTTCGGTAGCTCCATCATAGTCACCCAGAGGAGCTTCTTACCACAGATCCTAAAAAGGGAATTCTCAGGAACTCAAGGAGCCTGACAGCCTGTTGGCTGGGAAGTAAAGAAACGGTAATTGGATCATTTGACCAAAAGGCTCTTGGGTATAGTGGGAAAGATCCCTGGACTTGGGGTTAGATCAAAATTTAGCTCTGAACCACAAGATCATCTCAGTAGATGCAGAAAAGGCATTTGACAAAACTCCACACCCTTTCATGATAAAAACAATAAGACAGGAATAGAAGGGAAATTTCTCAATAAAGGGCTTTTATGAAAGCCCACAGTTAATACTGTAGTCAATGGAGAAGGACTGAGCGCTTTTCCATGAAGATCAGGAACAAGACAGGGAAGCCCACTCTCCCTACCGCTAGTCAACATTGTTCTGGAATTCCTAGCCAGAGCAGTTAGGATAAGACAAAAAAAGCATCTAAATCAGGAAGGAGGAAGTAAAATTACCCCTTTTCACAGACGACATGATCCTATACAAGAAAGCTACTGGCACTAACTAATGAATTCAGCAAGGTGGCAGGGTGGGAGGTCACCACACAGCAGTCAGTCAGGTTTCTATTCATCAGCAATGAGCAAGCTGAAAAGGAAATGAAGGGAACATTCCCATTTACAACAGCACCTAAAAGAATAAAGTACCTAGGAATAAATTTAACCAGGAAGGTAAAAACTTGTACACAAAAAACTATACAACGTGACTAAAAGAAATCAAAGAAGACCTAAATAAACGGAAGGACATTCCATGTTCGTAGAGTGGAAGGCTTAATATAGTGACGATGTTAACATTACCTGTTATAGATTGAATTGTGTCCCCTAAAAATATGTGTTATAAATCCTACCATACCTGTGGTTATAATCTCATTTGGGAACGGGTTTCATTGTTTTGTTAATGAGGCAGTACTAGTGTACGGTATGCCTTAAATCAATCTTTTCTGAGATATAAAAGAGCAGACTGAGCAAGCAACCATGCAAGCAAGGAAAGATGGGAGCAGACAGATGCCATGCTACATGATCACCAAGGAACAGAAGCTGAAAAGAGACAAGGACATTCCCCCAGAGTCAACAGAGACAGAAAGCCGTCCCCTAGGGCCAGCACCCTGAATTTGGACTTCTAGCCTCCTAAACTGTGAGAAAATAAATTTGTTTCTTAAAGCCATCCACTTGTGGTATTTCTGTTATAGCACCACTTGCTAACTAAGACACTACGTGAAGCAATCTATAAATCCAATGTAATTCCCATCAAAATTCCAACAGCCTTCTTTAGAAAAATAGAAAAGCCAATCTTCAAACTTATATGGAAGGGCAAGGGACCCCAAATAGCTAAAGTCATCTTGAAGAAGAAGAAGAAACTAGAAGGACTCGCACTTCCTGATTTCAAAACATACTACAAAGCCACAGTGATTAAAACAGCCTGGCACTGGTATAATTATAGACAGATATGGAATAGAATTGAGCATCCAGAAATAAATCCATATATCTATGTTCAGCTGATTTTTGACAAGGGTGCTAAGTCCATTCAATAGAGAAGGAAGAGTCTCTTTAATAAACAGTGTTGGGAAAATTGGATTTCCACATGCAGAAGAATGAAACAGGATCCATGCCTCACACCATAGACAAATACCAATTCACAATAGAACAAGGACCTAAATACAAAAACTAAAATCATAAAATTCTTGGAAGAAAATGTAGGAACAAGGCTGTGGGACCTAGTTTTTAACAATGCATTATCAGGTATGACAACAAAAGCACAAACAGCAAAAGACAAAACAGATAAATGGGACCTCATAAAAATTAAATACTTTCTTTCATCAAAGGATGTTATCAAAAAGTGAAGAGACAACCTACAGATTGGGAGAAAATTTTCGGGAATCATATATCAGACAAGAGTCTAATATCCAAAATATATTTTTAAAAAATGTCTAACTCAACAATAAAAAGACAAATTGAAGAGATATTTCACCAGACAGGATATCTAAACGGCCAACAAGCACAGGAGAAGATGTTTAATGTTATTAGCCATTATTTTTGTTATTGTGTGCTGCTGAGTCATAGTGACCCTATAGGACAGAGTAGAACTGGCCTATAGGGTTTCTTAGGCTGTAATCTTTATGGGAGCAGATCGCCAGGTCTTTTCTCCAGTGGAGTGGCTGATGGGTTCACACTATCAACCTTTCAGTTAGCAGCCAAGTGCTTAACCATTCCATCATCAGGGCTCCTTCATTAGTCATTAAACAAATACCAAACCTATTGCCATGGAATCTATTCTGACTCATTAGCCATTAAACCCACTGCCGTTGAGTCAATTCCGACTCATAACTACCCTATAGGACAGAGAACTGTCCCATAGGGTTTCCAAGGTTGTAAATCTTTTACAGAAGAAGACTGCCACATCTTTCTCCCACGGAGCGGCTGGTAGGTTTGAACCGCTGACCTTTCAGTTAACAGCCGAGTGCTTAAAAACCGTGCCACCAGGGCTCCTCCTTAGCCATTAGGGAGATGCAAAGCAAAACCACAATGAGATATCACCTTACCCCTATCAGAATGGCAATGATCAAAAAAATGGAAAACAGGTGTTGGTGAGGATGTGGAAAAACTGGAACCCTCATCTGTTGCTGGTAAGAGTGCAAAACGGTACAGCCATTGTGAAAAACAGCTTAACGGTTACTCAAAAAGTCGGAACACAGAACTACCATATGACCCAACAATCCCAATCCTAGGTGTATTCCCAGAAGACTTGAAGGCAAGAACACAAAAATGTACACCAGTGTTCATCGCAGCACTTTTCACAATAGCCAAATGTGGAAACAATCTAAACGTCCATCAGCAGATGAGTGGATAAGCAAAATGCAGTATATACACACCATGGCATACCACTCAGCCCTAAAGAGAAACGGAGTCCTGATGCGTACCACAACATGGAGGAACCCTGAAAACGTCATGCTGAGCGAAATCAGTCATAAAAGGACAAATACTATATGATCTCACTTACATGAAATAAGCAAACACACAGAAACCGAAGCTTATTAAGTGGTTACAGGGGTGGGGGAGAGGGAGAGTTTTTGCTTAGGGGGCAGAGTTTATGTTAATGGCAGTGGAACCATTTGGAAAAGAGTAGTGAGATGGTTGCACAGCTTGAAGAATGTAATCAATGTCACTGAACTGTACACGCAGTAATTGTTGAGATGGCGTATGTTTTGTTACGTATATTTTCATCATAATTTAAAAAAAAAAAAAACCAACAACAAAACTTAGCTCTACTACTTCGCATCTCCAAGTCCTTTGCTCCTCACTGTCTAATGGGGATGGATATTCCTAATACCTCCCAGGGCTGCTGGTAAAAACACATGGAAGAATGGATGAACGCACGGTGGTACATCCATACAATGGAATGCTACTCAGCAATAAAAAGGAGGAAGGAACAGTTGATACCTGCAACACATGGATGACTCTCAAATACATTTACTAAATGGAAGAAGCCAAACTCAAAAGGCTGCCTACTGTATGCTTCCTTTAATGTGGCATTTGGGAAAGGACAAACCCACAGAGTTGGAGGGCAGATCAGTGGTACGGGGTTGGGGGAGGGGCACACCATAAAGGGGCAGCAGGAGGGAATTTTTGGAGTGATGGAGCTGTACTGTATCTTGATTGTAGTGGTAGATAATCAACTCTATGCATTTGTCAAAATTCACAGATCCGAACACCAAAGTGAACGTGTGAATTTAAAAAAAAAATTTTTTTTTTAAATGGAAAGAAAGCCCCGATACAGAAAGTAGGATGTGACTGGCACTCAGCAAACGTCAGCTGACTAGGAATTCCTCCAGGCATTCCCTGGAAGTGGGTGAGGCGAGGGGGCTGTGCCAGGCTGATAAATCTGGAGGACACTCTCCCTGAGATGGGACAAGGCTGGTAATGGCAAACCAGGATGGTCCTTTATTACAGGAATCCTAACTGAATCAAGACCAAACCATTAGCTTCCTGGCGGATCCCTTAGGGCCAGGAATGACATCTACCTCCTTTTCTACTCCAGGTGGAAAAGAACAAGGAAGCAAGCGTAGAAAAGGGAGAGAAAGAGAAAACAAAGAAGGCCATGTCAAGTTCAAATGGCCTAACGGTACAGGCACCATCACAGTTCACCTGAACGCCATCAGGACCTCAGTCTCAAAAGAACGCTTTCCACCCCCGGGTGACAGCCAAGATGGCCAAACAACAAACAAGCCACCAAAGTGGGGGAACAAAGAATTTGCAGTCCCTTGGGGAGAGTATCTGTGTGTGAGATGGGGCAAACAGGTTTCAAAGTTAGGGTCAAACCCGTGCCTCACACCAGCAGCCCCTCACCTGGAGGATGCAAAAGCCTCATCCTCAACAGTCCTGGCCAACAGATCCTGGATAAGGGTCCAAATACGCTGACAGTTCAGGGCCATTCGCAATACACCCCTCAAGCCTTCTGTGGGTGTGTCTCTTCTACTCCAAAGGCCTCCTCCAGGGCTGGACACTCATATATCCAGGACCCTTCACAGTGCTGAGGGCCAGTCAGAACCAGACACCAGCTCGAGAAACCTACAGAGAGAGGACTTGGGTGCTAGGGAGCTACAAAGCTGCTACCAAACCAGGTGTCCTCCAGTCAGTTCCAACTCATGTCGACCCCACATGTGTCAGAGTAGAACTGTGCTCCATCCAGTTGTCAATGGCTGATTTTTCAGAAGTAGATCCCCAGGCCTTTGTTCTTTGGCACCTATGAATAGCTAAACCTTTCAGTTGGCAGCTGTTTGCACTACCAAATGATGTAACTGCTGTTATTTCCTTACCGCCCTTACCACATGACGGACAGACGCTCTGCAACAGGTGCGGAACAAATGACTAATAAAATGGGATCCCATTCACACACATATTTGTATACATGTAGAAAACTTTTTGCGTATGGCTTCCAGAACGCATCTTCAGGAAGTAGAACTGGAGACATCCATCGCCATGGAGTCGATTCTGACTCATAGCGACCCCAGAGGACAGAGCAGAACTGCCCCATAGGATTTCCAATAAGAGGCTGGTAGATTCAAACTGCCGACTTTTTGGTTAGCAGCCCAGCTCTTAACCACTGGGCCACCAGAGCTCCAGAACTGGAGATAGGACCTTTTAACTCTACCCTTCGGTTCTGTCCATTTTTTAAATGCTAAATAGCCATTACCGTTAAAGTAGACACACACACACACACACAAATGAACTAGTTAGAAAAAATGACGCTGGTGCTCCACTGTCACGCCCACAAGGCACCGCCTCCCGCCCGGGCATGGGGCGTTAAGAGGACCCGGGGAGCTTGCAGCGGGGAGCGGGCTATCAGGGCTCATAACACTCATTCACAGCGCCGTGGCGGGTCCCCAGTTAACAACCTGCCTCGACGCCTCAGGGGCATCCACTGTCGCCTCCGCGCAGTAACCCTATAACGCACAAGGCATTATCGTCCCCACTGAACAACCAGAGAAGAGGAAGCTCGGACACTCCGCGCAGGTGACAGGGCTGGGACGCCACGCGCCGAGGCCGGGCCTCGCAGGCGGGCAGCAGGTGCCAGCACCTGGCGGCCCGGACGCCGCGGAGCCTACCTGCGCTGGGCCTTGGGCCTAGGGCCGCCCTCGGGCCGCCGCCGCCACCAATCCCACAGGCTGCTCGCCGCGCTCCCTCGGCACAGGACCCGCTCTTGGCCAGCGCCCACCCGGGGCTCCCTCCGCGCCGCCACCGCCACAGCGCCCGGCTTGATCGCCCCGACGCCCGCCCCGGAAATAGTTGCAGAAGGGCGCGGAGCACGCCGGGACGCTCTCCGGTCCCACGGGGCTGCTTCGGGCGCTGTCGAATTGGTCTGTCCCGCACCCGGACCTTCCGGTCAGCTCGCCCATCTAGCGGAGTGACGCCCGCAGCAGTCAATGAGCAGGCGCAGTTCGCCATGCCC